GCAGACGCCTACCCCGAGTGCTACCCCTCTTACTACGACTACGGGGTCACCGTGGAGGACTCGGATGAGGAGGGGGCTGGGCCGCTGGGGGCGCAGCAGGTGTGTGTGTGTGTGTGTGTGTGTTGCTGGTCTCTGCAGAGGGCACGCAGGGCGGGGTTGTTGCTGATGGTGGTGGCGCAGGCTTGAGTGCAGTGGTGGTGGTGGCACGTCGAGGGGGGCGGGCCGCTCTGCCGCTGCCGCTGCACCCCTGCCGCGCGTGCCTCCGCCCTGCCTTCTTCCCTACGCGTCCCGTGTGCCACTGATGTACCGCCATTGCACGGCAACCGTACCGCAGGGCGCCCTCACCCGCCGCGACTTTGCCAGCGACGCCGACTGGGAGGAATATCAGGCCAAGGGGCAGCCCAGCAAGCAGGCAGAGGGGCGGGCCAAAGTGGTGAGCCTGGGGGGGAGGAAAGGATGGCGTGCATGCAGGCATAGGCGCCCGCGGGAGCTGCGCAGCAGCGGCGGCGCCTGCGGCGGCGGCGCCTGCAGCGGGAATGGCAGGCTGCCTGGCCTCGCAGCCTTGTGCTTGTCCCTCGGACCCAGCGCTGCAACGCCGGCCGACTGGCTGCCCCTCCCCCCCCTTGCTTTCCTCGTCCCTGCAGCGCCAGCAGCAGCGGGTGGCCTCCAAGGAGAAGAACAAGATCAGCAGCCAGCTGGGCAAGGTGGGGCGGGGCTGGCGGCGAGGGAGTCCTGCCGCGGGATGCCGCCGGCTGCCCGCTGCCCCTGCCGCGCCCTGCCGTGCCGCCTCACTGGCCAGCCGGGCAAGGTGGCCCCTGGGTCCAGCTGGCGGCGGCCGGGGTCACGCTCCCTCCGCTCCCCGCCTTGCCACCCTAACAGCCCTGCACCTCCTGCGCTGTACCGCTTCCTGTACCGCAGATCCAGAAACTCATGGAGGACAAGGGGTATGACCACACCGCCGCATTCGCCAAGGCGCAGCGGGCACGGGACGGCGGCGGTGGCGGCGGCGGCCAGGAGCACGGAGCCGCGGAGCCGGCAGGCTTTGCCTTCACCAAGAAGCGCCGCATCTGAGGGGCCGGATGTGTGGGTAGCGGCGGCGGCGGCGGCGGCGGCGGCGGGCGGGCAGCTTGAGTGCCGTGGGTGCCAGGCTGTTAGGCCCGCACACAGCCGGCGGGCAGCCCACCGCCGCGGCGTTGTATGTGCGTGTGTGCGTGCATCTGCCTGTAGTGCGGTTGTCCGCTGCTCTCTGCCTGCCTCTTGCGACATCCTCGGTGCCACGCTGACCGCGGCGGCGCCGGGTGCAGAGCCGCCTGGTGCTGCCTGGCCAAGCCCATTCGTGCTGCCTGGCAGGAGCACTGCAGGATGGAAGACTGACTTCACAAACGCCTACTGAACCACCTGCCCAGGCTGGCAGGCGCCAGCACAAGCCGCCCCACAGACCTGTGCGGTGACTGCGGCGGCGGGAGCTGGGTATCAGGGATACCCAGCACCCGAAACAGCCCCCCCGTCGTATCCTTCCCGCAAAACATGACTTCAGCCGCTCATCCTGCACTCAATCCCACGCCCCGTAGAGCGCGGTTGGCTGGCCGGCCGCCCGGCAGCGCCTTCTTGCCAGCTGGCAAACAAGCAACTTAGGGAACAGGAGGCGCTCTGGCATGGCTGATAACCTGCACCACTCTCGGTAGCTTTGATTGGATAGGCTTACAACCCCTGATGTCTCTTAGAGCTGTGGTTTGTGCCCGGACATCTGAATGGCAGCAAGCGGCTAGCTTGGCACAAAGTTGCATGTAGTTGGTCATCCGTTGACAGTCACCACGGCGGCTCCGGCATAGGCATGCCGCTCTCAGCAGTCACATGTGCGATGGCATTCGCCGGCCTCACGATCGCGGTGGTGGCTGCTTCTGCCGGTAAGCATGCTCAGTTTTGCAGCACTCCCGCAGTACGGGTCGGCCCACTGCATGGGCCTATTATAGCCTATTATAGCCAACAGTAGCCCACCCGTCCGCTCACAGAGAGCCATCGCGCCGGCCTCGCGCCGATCACCCCCACACCCCCTTCACTTCCCGGTTTTAACGTCTAGCTTTAGACCATTATTTGATCTGCCCGACGCGCCAAGTGCAGTACCCCCCACTAGTAGTGAATGGGTCCCGGGGAGGCCTGTGCCGAAGCCTTGGCGATTCTATTAGGCGTTCCCGAAGGAATTGGCTTGGATTGGCGCTGAGCCGGTCAGCTATGCCGCGTTTGTCCTCACAAAGTTTCGACATGGGAGGAATCGAACCTGTGCCCTCCACTGCCCCCACCCTCCACACTCACCCACCCACCCATCAGCATGTCAAGCAGCGAGGGAGCCAGCCTTGGGCAGCGCAGCCAGCAGCCGATCAGCAACCCGGCCTCCCGGGCATCCCTGCGGCCCGATTTCCCCCATATCGTGGTCAAGGGGCTCGCTCTGGAGGCCGGTGGGGGCCTGGGGGCCGCAGTCGCAGCCTTCGTTTTGTTTTGCCGGGCCAGCCTTCACCTGCCAGTGCCTGACTGTGTGCCTGTGACCTGCGTTGAGATTCGGGTGCGTGGGGACGGGCGCAGCGAATGCCACCTGCGACTGACTCCTGCCCTGTGCGGCGCCCTGATGGGTGCCCGCCGCCGCCTTGCGTGGGCAGCACCAGAG